ACAGCGGAAACAGGAGACCATGCCTGTGTTACGTGTACGGCTGTTATCCTGCTCGGCACACATTACGCCAATACTACAATGAATTGAGTCATCCCTTCGAGAGTAGAGTAGGCTTCTTTGAAGTTCCATATGTGGTCTCTTTGCAGCTTTTGACTGGAGCTGACATTGACCTGTGACTAGGTGGTTTGGCCTGGTAGTTTTTTCTGTAACCAGTTGTCTGGGTAGTAATGAAATGTAGCTGCTCTGGTTTTTTTGTGGGCACACAGCTACGCATCGAGAAAGGTATAGCTTTTTTTGTTGGATCCCAAGTCGTTGCTCTCACGTCGGAACGAAAGTCCTTGCAAAACGTTAGCAAAGAAAGGAAAATGATGGAGGAGTTTAGTCGAATGGGACAAGATAAAGACAGATGATAACAGAAACGGGAAATAATGAAGGCGGATGTGTGAATACTCCTCCAAGGTCGAAAATAGCTGCGTTTCTGGCTCCCGACAAGGGCAGTATCGACTAGAGCGCGTTTGCTGGCTTGAGACAAGAATGAAAAGGCACTAATACTGTCGTCGCGCGCGTCGAAACTATTCCGCCGCAATGCGGCAATCTCTGGTTTGACAGGATTTCCACATGCCTTGCAATGGCCTCAAAAGGTGATGTGGCAGTAGATTTACATTAATGACTTTTACCTTTTGTAAGTCCCATCCCATCAGTGACTTAACAAAATAACAGAGCAGTTCAGGTTTCTGAAGTTTTTAAATACACTTAGGATCGTTCTGCGTGGTGACCTAGTATCGGCGACACGCTGAAGTCTCCCGACTGTTTGCCACGGCTTGTTGCAAAGAAGGAAACCCGCTCATATCCCTTTTTTCGCGAAGATNTATTACATATGCTGAAGTCAACTTGAACCTTCACCTATTTCTTTCGTGGGCCTTTTAGCGTGAATAGATTTTTGCTTTGTTTCACTACTCTATGATACCGACTGAATCGCAGGATGTGCCTTTGAGAAGTCAGCGATCTTGGAATGTCTTGACCCATGTTTGGGTCATGACTTCAAAGATGCTGAGGAAAAATCGCCGAATCAGGAAGTCGACCACTTTCATGTAGAACTGAAAACAGTCTCAGTGGATTTTCCAGGTTCTACTTCACTTGACCCCAACGTAGACGTGCATATTTCCAAGAATTCTCCAGTGTTCTTCTTCATGCGGCTATCGCTTGAAAGTACGAATGAACGCTACAAAGATTTTTTTTTACATCTCTTTATTCCTCTAATCTTGGAGGTAATTGAATTTATTCCGATGATTACCTCCTAAATCAGTCCAGCAGTCCCATGCTGTTGATTCTTCTTCGAATACGCCATGCACACTGATTCCATTCCTTTTTATAACTCCACTCATGTAATAATTGTTGCTCTTGGGCCAAGAACTCATCCCTTTGGATAGAAGAGACCTATGTTTCCAGTGAAAGCGTTTGCAAAGAAGCTCTCAATAGACTCAATCCTCGACCCCTTTCCAGACATACTAGTAAGTACTCAAACAGACATCACATCCCCAAAAACGAATAGAAGGCTAATGAAGCAAACCAATTTCATAAAAGTATTTATCAATAATCTCTCATTGAAATAGCACATTGAGACTGGGGTCTGTAGCTTTCTGCTTTTGCCCAACCCCAGAGACGACGATGGATGACATTGACGATGGCACGCAGCTAGGGTCATCGAGTTGATCCCAGCTTTTTGCAAGACATTTTCGAGATTATTTCACTTCTTGTTTGGGCTAATGGATGCCTCCATCTTAAGGGCTGACCACACTGAGACATCCATGGGATTCAGATCAGCGCTGCAGTGTGGTCACTGATCGAATGTTGTGAAGTCAGGGAATCCCCTTTACGAAATTTCTGGACAATTTCTGATCTGCGGTCAGGAGCTTCACCTTCACAATATGTCCGGTTTGAATCGCCGAAGTGTCCTGTTGCGCACTGCGGAATCGAAAAGGTCTTCAAATAGACTTTCACTCCTTAGTTAACAAAAATTATCGGTGTCTTTGCGTCGGCGGTGATGCTAGCAGAGGCTATCACAGAAAGTAAGTGAGCCAATCGCTGTATCACTTTCATTTCTTTAAGCTTCATATAAATCTTGTCGTTCTGCTTATTGAGCACTTTTTTCACCGTGAATATCATTTCGTTGGTGAACAGAAAATCCGTACGACAATTTTCCGAATGCGGCGGGGCAGCTTTTGTGAACCAATCTTTCTCTTCTCTTCAACCTGCTCACTGGGGAAACCACTCCGCGTTTGGAATACCAGCAGAGAGCCGGAAACTCGCCTTTGAATGTCAAAATACCAACGTAATGGCCGATTCAAAAAAATCTCACGTGTTTATTAAAATCTCGGAGAAGCAGTACAATATCTTTATGAATCGAAAATAGCTTTATACATGAACAAAAATCATTCATCAACAAGAAAAAAACAACCTGACAAAAAATGGACTACTACGTAATAACCTCTACCACATAGCACGTTGAACGCCGCTCAGTTTACTATGGTCAGCCAGTCTCCTGGAATCGAGACAGCTTATGGAAGNATCAAAATTAGCTTTATACATGAACAAAAATCATTCATCAACAAGAAAAAAAAACAACCTGACAAAAATGGACTACTACGGAATAACCTCTACCACATAGCACGTGGAACGCCGCTCAGTTTACTATGGTCAGCCAGTCTCCTGGAATCGAGACAGCTTATGGAAGCACAATCGCGGAATTATAAAAATACTGATCATATGAAAACTTCCTGTACTACCTAAATATATGCCTATTGATTCGGTACGGCTTGATCTTTCCTCTTTGTCGTGCCGTGAACATGCACATATTGAGAACCCGTCTTGGGTGGGCCGTTTTGGGCAGATTAAGGAGCTCATCGGCTGCAGCATCTCGGATGGCCTTAACAATGTGAATGGAAAAACGATACAAGTGAGCACCCAGTTATGTTCACGCACGAACAGGTGATTTTGGCATTCGTTCAAATACTACCATTTCGCTTTCCCCTCAATAATCCATTGACCCCCATAAACATCTGAATCAGGATACTTGTGAAATATTCCCAATCACCAAAAATGAAAACTATCAATTACCAAAAGCAACAGAAAGACCGCAAATCACGAAAATTTTTGGATAAAAAACAACGCCACCACAGGCCATCATATCTCTGATTACCTTTAGTTCTGTCTCTAAAACCATATCAGATTATTTTATCAGTAAATTGGCTTAGCTGAGCCATGGAACAGTGTGGTAAACAAATGTAGTAAAACAAAGTACATATGAACAATACCTGTGGGAGAATGGAATTTTCTTTTATAGCTTTCAAGCGCGTTCGGTGACCTCCAATTTCTGCGATATGTTCACGACGCCTTAAGAAAAGTTTTGAAAAAAAGTCGGTGGTATGTCGGGTATGAACAGTTTTAAACGACTAAAGGCGATAAGGAATTTGAAAAAATATAAAAAATAGCAATATGTTGAAATCCTCATGAAATCCCTTCCTAGAAAACTTGTGAAGGTACGTTAGGAGAAAGATATGGACTACTTTCTTGATTAATTTATATTTTTTCTACTCACCCAGGCTACACTATCTGTGTTGAGAGATATTCAAACAATGGAAAAGATGGTGCAGGAGCAATGTGGAGCGATGACTGCACAGCAAAACAATGTGTGATAGCAAAACGGGGGTAACCACAAAAGAAATTTTAGGCAAAGTGTCTTAACTATCCCTCGATGACATCTACGCTCTGTAAAAGACCCTGCTAAGCGAGGACGATCCATTGAACTATTCTTACTCTGGGTAGGGAGAACCGGAGAAGTTACTGGCGCCCCCTCGAGGAAACAGATGAACAACGGGACGAGCGGTGATACAGTAATTTTAAAACCTCATTGCGTCCGCAGCCAACTGATCTAACGTAAATGTTCGAGTGAATTGCGTAAGGAAAAAAAAACAATTCCAAATACAACAAACTGATGGCGAACAAAAACAGTGGCAAATATATTCAAAGAAAATCAAAGGAAATTAAAGGAATAAGTCACCAACTTGATATCTCTCAACTGTCGCCAAGTTGCCCAGAAACACGTTCGCTTTCCTTTCTTCCACCACTCCCTTTCCACATAGAAAGGATATTCATTAAGTCTGAAACTTGAGCGGATGCAACGGAAGTATGGCAATGCACAATCAGAAAGCGGACTGAAGAGCTTACTTCAACCGTGCGATAGCATCAGCCGAATAGGTCTCCTTTACAGCTATTGAATCCGAGGCCCCCAATCCATTTTCTTCAGGATCAGCGGCGATCTTCTGAGAAGCAGTAATATACAATAACTTTGTTTACCGCAATACTCAATTACAAAGTGTTACCGCATCATCTGCTACTTCCTGAGCCTCAATTGGAGGAATAGAAGCTAACGTGCGCTTCCAAACCGATTGGAATAAACGCTGCGTGCAGGTCAGTGCCCGCAGCATCCTCCAACTGAAAAATTTATCCTTCACGGTTAAGCACAGAAGAAAAAATATATTCGAGGTTCAGAACTCAATTATCCACTACCACAGAACTATCGAAAACTCTTTACTTACGCCTGAAAACATCGGTAACAATCAACGACACTAGATAAACTCGTCCAGAAAAGAAATGACACTTCAAGCTTTTTAACTAGTACATACAGCAGTATCATAAGCACTTCTATACACAAAACAACTGCTTAAAATATCAAAGCAGATACGATTACACTCTAAATGTAGCTGCCAGTGAACTCCTGCCATAGTCTGACCATTAATACAAGCAAAAACCCGAAGTTCCCATCAACATTATATTATTTAAATTATAGACATTTACTTAATTATCTAAGGCACATCCTATCGCTAGAGGCAATTTCAAATGGTATTACGGTAAAAGACACATGTATGTACAAACCAAGTTCCAAAACGGAATGAGCTTCTACAAAAGCAACATTGGCCGGCGCATACTTGGTAGCAAGTGAACTAATTGGCCACAAGTAATGGATATCTATCGATCTATAGACTCAGGCGATGCTGCAACCGCTCGTACCTTTGCAGCGAGCCACTCATCTTACAATGCTGTAAATTTCAACAATGCCAAAACATTAACTTAAGAAGAAACACCATATACAAGTATGTTCGACAAGTATTACAACGTAGCGAACTACAAAGCAATACCCGTTTCTGCACATCGCAAGCATGTAACACACCAAATCCTATAGATTTACAATAAGCAAGGGCAAAGACTAGACATGCATCTATAACGATCCCCATAGGGTTTCTTTAAAGAACGTATTCAGTACAGACATATTGGGAAGGGTACGCTCACCAAACGGCAAAATACATCCAAATTCTAATAAGCAGTAGACCCTATCAATCTTGTGTAGCTGAAGGGCTCTGACCTGTTTTATTGAGTTTTGGCCGGTTTACCATTATTTTTATGCTGCCCTGAAGATCGGCACTGACAATAACATGTCCTGTGATTATATGCGGACACGTCCCAGGAAATGAGTTGCTATCACGGTTTTCTTCATCTTGTTTGGCCATCATTGACAGGAACACCTTAACTTGACAATATGTAAACAACAACAAGAACTATCAAAAAACAAATAAAGAAATAGGCAGTGCTGAGGTAGCAGTTCGACGATTTGGGGTAGGTGAAGAGGAAAGATGCAGACTATGCACATATTAGGGAAGACTCATGTCAGCTCACATGAACAAATCTAACTCAGCCCGGTATACCTGGGTAATCAACGACTACGAGAAAACGCACCTGAGGTTTTGGGGCAAAAACTGCAACAGAAACGGGAGCGCTATGGGCTCGCACTCGTTCCCACATCGCATTACGGTCCTTACGAACAGATAGAGTCGAAGGCAAATCAGAAGTTCGCCACAAATAAATAAACCTGAAAACACCCGTAGAATTGTAAAAAGAACTGGGATGAAGTAAACCCGGGTGAATGGAGTAAAATAAACAAAAGAATCCACGAAAACAAACTGAATGCAATACCTAAACAGAAAAAAAAGTAAGGTTCTTATGAAAATAGCAGAAAAGGCTGGGCAGGGTCGGAACCAAAGAATTAAGAAAATCCGTAAGGGTCATATCTTTGCCGCTCGAAGCCATCTTTTTTGTAATCCCTTACTTGCTTGAAACTCACTTCTTAACCACTTCATATAAGACGTCTCAAGGGATGAAAGAATTGCATTACTACCATCTAAACAGGTTAAGTTTCAAATCCCGATCAATTTCCAAGCTGTTACACTGAAGCCAATGAAAAACTGTGAGTATCACTCCATCGGAACGGTACATAACAAGTCTACCGAAAACCATCACCATCGGGTAAACCACTGGTAGTAGATGCTGGACATACACAAATGGGTCATGAATGTAACCCGAACTCAAGATAGATGGATAACAAGCCACTTACTTATCCTCAGAGCCACACACAATATGACGTCCATCGGGAGAAAACGCAGCTCGAATTTGGGAGTGTTCATTCTGGGCTCCACGGAACTTACACGTGAGCGCTTTATCACGAACATCGTACATTCGAATACGTGAGTCGTTAGAAGTCACCTACAGATAGTAATATTATGGACTAACCAAAAAAGCTAACAATAAACATACCAGTAGTTTATCCCCATGAACAGCCAAACCCGTGACTTTATGTCCTCTTGCATTTTTGCCACGAGACGAACGAACGTCCACAACTGTGTGGTATTTGAGTTGCTGAAAAAGTTCCCAATTACCATTGAATTTAAACTACCCCGGCTTTACTATCGCAGCGTACACCGTAAAGTCTGCACAAGCACGGCACTTACGTCAGTAGAGTAAAAGAAACAACGCCCGTTGTATGTTCCAACGACAGCAAACTTCCCGTTTTTGACAAAAGTTATGGCAGTAATAAACTTGACCTAAAAAGAAGTAATAGAGTAGTAAACCACAGCTTACTAGCATTCATAACTATAACACCGGATTATAAGAAGACGTGCGTAGCTGTACAAAACAAAAAAGTGACCACTTTACATAAAAAATGGAGAAATTAAAATTAATCAGATGAATGAATTGGATTCAACAGACATTGAAGAACAAATAGAGAAAATAAGCCAAAATGCATACAAATGAACATCCCTGCATATCGGAAAGAAGTGGAAATGAATATCCTAGCTCGATCATTTCAAGCCTAGTCTCGGCCAAGAAAAAGAGATTTTTTTCAAGCGTTAGCCGCTGCGGCTTAATTGACTTGCAAATACTGTAGCAAATGAAAGACTTACTGGAACCTCATTCCACACCGCAACTTTTTTGTCTGGTATATGCCACATCCTTAGCTTGCCGTCAAGAGAACCAGAAAGAAAGTATCGGTCGTCCTAGAATTTGAAGGAACTATAAAGAGGCCTATGGGAGAAACAAAATAGCAGGCAAAGATAATACCTTGGGAAGAAATGCGACGGAAGTGACAAAGTCCACATGTTGGAAACAACAGAGACATTCACCACGAGACAAATGCCATAACTTCACCGTTCGATCCATGCCAGACGAAAGAATGAAATAATTTTTGGACCACGACAAATCCAATATGTCGGCTGTATGACCCTGTAAATTACCTTGGTTAGATTCACGACAGATATCATATATCACAATGAAGTGAAGGGAAATTTTGTACCTTGAAGACGACGAACGGCTTCGCTGAGAATAAATTCGTGGAATCCTCTTCTTCTCCAGTAATTTCACCTGAAAAACAATTTTTCATCACCAACATTACGTTACCGCAATGTCGCCCTACAAAAGCAAAGCTGTTGCCAGCCGAAAAGCAAATACCAGTAGACTTAGATCACGATAAAGCATGTGTGAAAAAACCAAACATGTCACTTCAAGAAGAGAAGGAGAGGGAAGGATGGAGGATGGAAGATTAGGAAGGATGAGAGGCAGAGAGATGAAGGAGTAGAAGCGCAGGGTTCAACAAGTAAGCTTCAAACTACGAATTGGAGCCCCTTATTTTCCACAGGCTTATCGTAGGAGTAAAAAAGGGGCGAGAGAATTTTGTGGGCAGAGCTTAGAAGGAGGAAAAGAGATCGGGCCACGGTAGTTGAAACCCCTACACCGTGCAGAACCATGGTTCTTACAAGGAACTCGTGGACCCAATACGATAGCGGAGAGCAGTTAATGCAACACAGCTTCATCCTCCGAAAATTTTAGGTTTACACTTGACTCACAAAAAGTACTTATTTTAAAATGATCCTAAATAACGAAGTATATAATATAAAAAATAAGTAATAAAAAATATAAACAAAGTATAGAAGCAATCTTCACACAACGGGTTATTTCGCCATCTACTCACAGATCAGTTACACACATGGCCACCCAAGCTTCACGAATCGAGGGAACATAGAATAAGGTCACAGAACGAGCTACTGAGCATACTTCCCTCATAATCTGATTTTTCTCATAACAAAACCGCCTGATATTCAAAGAAGACCTGTAATCAGAAATGTCGTAAAACATACTTTGTGTATTGCTACCAATGGAGCTGGGAGGCCTGAAGGATTCCATATCATGAATCGCTGATTGAAATGCTTCATTAGGAGAGCCACAAGCATCTGAGGTTTTCTGTTGGTACCTAGAAGAAAGCGATATACATCCGAAGCAACTGAAAAGTGAATAAGGATGACTACAATCATCTTCCTATGTTATATAATCTAACCTTTCTCTCATTTGTATAAAATACTTGAGATGACTTCGGGCAGCCCAGACTCGAATGATGTTATCTTGACCAGCTGTCGCCATTAGACGACCGCAAACAGAGAAACGAACGCACCATACAGCACCAGTGTGTTCATTGTTCAATTCCTTCAAAAAAAAAAACTTCGAAAAACAACAAAAAAAAATATTTCAGAAATAACTTTCAAGGTTCAAAACATAAAGAAAAAGGTAATTGCAAAAGTTCCGGACCACGTTCTCATTGGAAGGAGCACCTCTGGGTCGTGCGATATTTGAATTTGCTCTGTGGTTGGTAGTAACCTGCCAATTACATTCAAAAAAATCGCTAGGAAGCGTAATGTCTAAGCTGGGAATAGAAATTGGGTCCGTTCTACTTCCATGAGACCAGCTAACAATAGTACACCACCTAAGATTACCCCAACAATCCTCAGCCGCTTTAAAATGATATGTCAGTAGGATTAAGGACAAACACTCCTAAAAATCTACACGATGTAAGTTCAATTCCCAATTTTAGGGCAAATCGCAAACAAAAATTTCCTCACGGAAACGAAGTTCATGGTGTGTTTCCGGGTATACGACAAATTCTATTAGAGCATTTCCATTCGAAGGATCGTTTTTCTTATTCGAAAAGCTATCCCTGTTTACCACATTCATTGAGTGTAAAAAAATGAAGATATAAGCAACCAGCATGATGCCAGCTAAACCATTCAAGCAGATAGAAGTAAAAAGAGCAAAGTCGTGAAAAAATGAACTAATTCCGTTTTAGAGCTTTCATTCACTGGACTCTGTATGAAGAAAAATCCAAGCAAATTTCGCAATTCAGCCATGGGTGCGCATTACATGAGCCAAGAATTTCACATGCAGCACATCAAAAAGAACATCCATAAAAAAGTGCGAGGTTAATTCAAAAAAGAGCACTTAAAGTATGTAAAACAAGAGAAGAACAAGAAAACTCAAAAAATACCTGAACCACTCTCAGCTGCTCAAAATCAAAAGGCCCCTTTTTGCCTTTCCTTGGTCGAACGATAGAACCATTGTGACCCGTTGATTGTAGACCAGATTCTGATTGTTCACCTTCACTGTCAGACGTATCGTCTACTTTAACAGATGCGCCACTGCAACACAAGCTAAAAAACAGGCTGTGAAATGGTGGCTCAGAAAAAAACGTACCCATGAGCGGCGCTCTTCATTCGCTGAAATGCTCCACGAAACAGTCCAGTGGCATAGCTACCATAGCTGCGTGCCCACGTTTTAGCATGATCGAAACTCGAACGTGAGCATGGGAAGCGTTCCAAACGAACTTCATCACTGGAATGGACCCTTTTAACTTTAACTCAAGGTTACTCCCATCTATTGTGACGACAGTATCAACGGCACAGGAATCATAATGAAACAGTAAAGTAAACTTACCTCATTGTTTCCGAGCTCAACGGACAATCTCGTTTCATACTCATCCTCCTCTCGACATCTCGTGTTATTGGATCAATCGATGAACTCAAAGAAATTTCAAGACTTCCTCCATCCGCCGTGATTGTTTCATCACCACCACCATTCTGAAAATTCACAAGTAAAGTATGGAAAAGTAGTTACTTTAAAAGTTCAACAGGTAGCCTGACCTGTATCCTTTCAGCAACATCTACACTGGCTTCCTTCTCAGTATTCTCAGTATTCTCCACTGCTTCATCAACTGATTGCTCTTGTAGCGCTTTTGCTTTTGTCGATTTCAATTCTTTCATTTTTCGTGACATCTCCGAACTGGGTGACGATATCGACGACGATTCTGAAGCTATTGGCTCCAAATCACCGTCACGTGACTGAAACATCGATTAAAAATCAACAAAGCAGCGACCGTTTGAGAAGAAAAAAAAAATAGAAATGATGTGCTAACAGAGACTCCATTCAGATGGACTCTGTAACGAACATGGAAGACTATCCAATGACACCACTTCTTTTTTTCACAAGACTCTGCTTACAATGTAAATACTGAACTGAGACGAGGTCCAAAAAAGGAGGCCTTAGGTAAGCCTTGGTACCAGGCAGCCCGCTTTCTGACTAATGTTTGCTATTACCGCCGAAGCATAACGGGCTTGAGTTCAGCCAGATTTACCCCTATTTGGACACCGACTCACAAAGGTCGTAGGCCCCTGCCCCAGAAACCCGAAATCTACAGTTACTGCCTTTCTCGAAGGATCTGATGACGTCAAAATACAAACTCTTAATAGTAACCAAAATGCAAATACAAAAACGATCGGGTTTACATTGTACGAGTTATAAAAACGTTTTGCGCAGTTGTAATCCTGTACGTACATTGATCAGCGATGTCCCTCAAGGCCAACAAGATAAGCGTACCACGCGGATGACTAATGTGTATACAAGACGAGAAATAGCGAACACTGTTCAACCACTTCAATACGGCACCCTTTTGCAAAGCTCCGAAACCTCCTTTCCTGGCATAGGACTTCCAAAAAAACGTGATACGTTCTACCATAGATATTTTGCTTAGATGGTCTCATACATGTTATGATATTTCTTCAATAAATAGCTATTTACGAGAATTTCTTCACAGAACATTAGAGTCATGACGTGAGGACTAGGATGAACTAATTCTGACTGAAAGCCGACTTATTGTGTCTGGAATGCAACCCGAATAAGATTCCATTAAAATTCGTAGTGATTGTAAAAATGCGTATATGGCCTATACAATGACTTGCAGCGGCCAGCCGATGAGGAACTCATTGCTTCTATCCTCCCAGACAGGTCTGATACCAGTGCCCTAGACGCCCTCCAGGGTCGGTCAACTGGGTTTCGTTGCCCTAAGTGAATATCGACTCGGAGTTCGATCACCAGACTATGTGCGTGAGATAGTGTGTCCTTGCCACTACACCATCTCTAACCCAGCACTGGATACAACAACGAATACTGAGAAGAAAGAAGGCAAGAGCAAGCGGGGCATCAGTAGTACAAGGGGGGGGGGGGGGGGGNTACAATGACTTGCAGCGGCCAGCCGATGAGGAACTCATTGATTTTATCCTCCCAGACAGGTCTGTTACCAGTGCCCCAGACGCCCTGCAGGGTCGGACAACTGGGCTTCGTTGCCCTAAGCGAATATCGACTCGGAATTCGATCACCGGACTATGTGTGTGAGAGAGTGTGTCCTTGTCACTACACCATCTCTACCACAGCACTGAATACAACAACGAATACTGAGAAGCAAGAAGACAAGATCAAGTGGGGCCTCAGTACCGAGCACCGCCTGAGGCCGGAATTTTGTCTATGCCTCGCAAGCTTTAAGAGATCACGAACACTGTTGGGCTTTAATGTCCTTGTCGCCAATGCTCGACTGTAGGGCCAAGAACTTGAGGAAAAGCGAATCGAGCACTGACTAGGAAAACCGTGATCGATCACAGTTGCTGGCATTCATTCCACTCCTTTCAACACATGATTTGCGTAGAGATGCTTTACTATTGTTATTGAGAAAACCTCCAACACACATCTGAATCACTCCGTAGCACTTCCGTACTACCCATGTACAGCCCTTCCTTTCCACTCTGTTCAAACCAGCTCAAGCAAACATTCCACCCTTTAGAATTGATTAACTACTGCACTTCTGGTGGCAGCAAAGAATCATGGACTCCTGCCCAGGGTAGTACCCGCGGGTCGCTGAGTGAACTGAAGACACTTCTAAAAGTCATCGCAACTCTGAAAACGAATCGATAGCGGGGCACATTTCACGACGACGAAAGGATCACCACACGCTAAGCACCTTAGCTCTTTTTATTGTGCTACGTTGTTGACCTGCATCGAGTAGCAACCCGAAAAAACCCTTGCAGGAACGTATTAGGTGCATTCGACCAAAAATGCGAAAAGTGGTTGAATACAGACAGGCCGAAGCATCCCATCAACAAATACGGCCCTCCTTCTAGAACCTCATTGAACAAGTACGTTACCCTTCGCTTCAAAATCGTCATAATCTCGAGGTTTTACCGCGACTGACCCACTGATCCATTTTTTGTTATTCCAAAGAAAAAAAAANAAAAAAAAACTATAAACTAAAGGAAAATGAAAGTAAAAGGAGTGACAATAGACTGATATGGAAGGTGTATTTGTTACTGTGTTGATCTGAGCCTTCTCAAAATTTTACAACTTTATGCAACTGAGGTTTCGGCCTTTTCGCTTATGGGGGTCGTACTGTACTGCAAATAAGAGAAAAAATGAAAAAAAAGTGGAAATAAGGGTAGGAACCAATGACTAGAATGACTATCGACGAGGGGAGGATAGTAGAAGGTTTGAGGGATTGGAGAAACTGTCATCACAGAACAGAAAGGATGCCAGACGGCCGCAGAATAGTTTAAAAAAACATTTATGTGAGATATGAGAAGATAAAAGTGTGCAGAACGAAGCTGATGAAGCGGAAAGACGAAGAAGAAAATGAGAAATAAGGCGTACACAAAGTCAAGAATGAAAACGAGGTAAAAAGAACTAGTTGGAACGATCAGAGTGGGCCAAAACTTCTTGTCCTGCTGATAATGACGGGAATTGTACTGACAATGTATGCACTCCTGCAAGAACTTTTTAGCTAAAGTTGAAATTTGACTGCATTCCCAAATCGTATTGATTGACAGTTGATTCAACGGTGAAAGGATGAAAACACTACTGGAAACATGAAAGGACACAAACAGATAGAGAGGCACCTATAAAAAGAGTGAAAGAAGTAAAAGGGGAAAGAGCAACTCGAGTAGACACGGAAGGAAGTAAGAGTGCACTCAAGTTAAAACGAAAAACAAACACGCAAAATAGAAGCGTCGAAGGGAGCTTAGCCTTCATGGAACGAGAAAAGAGTGAACGTCAATGAAAATCTGAGCTAAACAAAATAATAGCTATCGATTACGACGTCTAAATGGAGGCCGAAATCACGAGGAAAGAAACAAATGAAAGAATTCCGAGTGGCTGGCATTGCACTCAGAAGAAATGCCAAGTAAAAAGAAAGAAAAAAGGAAAATGATGTGGATAAGGTGAGGTTAGAAATAATAAGCCGGAAACAACGCCTTGAACCAGAATTGCTCAAAACGGGGTAGAATATGATAGCGAAATGGGGCCTGTACCTAAAAAGTCCATAAAACGAAGACACATCGGTATTCGCTGGAAAACACATTGGTATTAGTTAGTGTGCAGCGATACTCCAACAATACTGCAAAGTTAGTTCTCCCCTGGACTCCCTATTTTCCTGTTTGGCGAGCTACTATAGCAGCATAACTTTTCCTTATGGAATTACTATAAGTAAAAACCAATTATGAATCACTGGTAGACTACAAAATGCAATAATAATAAAAATTTTCGAAAATCCGAGCAAAAGACACGATAAAACGTATTCAAAAATCAACAAACTAGGCCGTGTTAATTGATCCCACTAACTGGGACACTTCCACGACTAAATGGCACCGCCCAGGCACTTTGTCGAGTATTTACAAGAATGTATGAAGTATATTCACGATACATATTAATGTTTTTACACTGCCAGATAAACAAAATACCGTTCGAACAACACGACGTCGTGAAGCAGATGGTTAGCCTGAAGCCAGATCCCATCTCTACAACAGGATGCTACGGGGGAGGCTTCCAGTCATTGCACTACTTCCCAAAAACCACTAAAGATGATTCCCAGTTAACAAAGACGAATGTCGATCCCCATTTGTTCGTGGACGCTTGAAGGCTTTTTTTTGCATGCATGCGACAGAAACTGGTTAAGTTGTTCATTTCAAATAGAAAAAATAGTTAAAATAAGGGAAACAACTTCACCCCGACGAAACACACACCTACTCACCTCGAAATCTACCTAGGACCTCTCTCGTTTACTTCAACAAATACGAATAACTCTATGCAAACAGCAGTATCGAGTTGTTTTGCACAGCACTATTCTTATTGTAAAACCAGTAAACCAGTAACGGTTACCAACAAAAACATGTTGAAGTGGTCAACCTAGTTATAACAAATTGCCTCTTCGAATCAATACATTCACCAAACATCATGACTAGATTTGGGCAATGACAAATAGAACTATCCCAGAAAAAAAAAACTTTTCGGTCAGCCCTACTTGTCCCGTACTCTGAATAAATATCGAACACCGCAGAAAATCCCACCACACTTTCACGAACGCAGACAAAGATCAAGCTATTTACAAAAAAAAAAATGTAAAACTAAAGCATAAAAACGCTCACCCGAACGGGCTGATCGCCAATAATCTTTGTTGTGATTTGAAGGATCACGCCTTCAGCTGCTGTGTTACGCGCACACTCTTCACCATCGTCGTCTAATTCTTGGCGTGTCAAAGAGTTTGATTTGTTAGAAGGGGGCGGGAATGGGCCAGCCTACAATAGAACACTTTCATGAAAGATCTATAGATCAGAGTGAAACAAACCTTGAGAGACTTCGCCAAAGTGAGACCTCTATCAAGTGAGTTGGTCTTTGTATGACCTCTTCGCCGTCCACTTCCATTGACCGTTTCACCGCTTGGCAGCAATAGCGAATCATTTGAGGTGGAGGACCCCCTTCAAAGAATAGTTTCGTAAAAAGAAAAAGACCTCAATACTACTTGTAAGGAAGAGCTCGATGCCATTCGATTTAACAAAAAAGTGAAGAAAGGAGGAGCTAGACCTCTGAACGTGGCTTTGCTGTTGTTGTTGTTGTGTTTGTTGTTGTTGAACAGCCTCGATGGACGGGCCTTGAGCGTTGGGTGGGCTAAATTACAATAGCTCTGGAACCTCTTCAATTCTAAAAGGTGGGATCCCGTAATGTTAATCATTTCACTGTACCTCTCTGTCTCGGGTACATTCAGCCGAACAATAAGTTCAGTTGACACAGGGTCGGGTAATCGCAATGAAGGATTTCTTGGTGGAAGAGGAGGCGGAGACCGTAAATCACTCGAAGTCTACAAGGAACATATGGAGCATGTGGAACTAAATTTTCAGGGCGGAACGACTACCTGTCGTGTCAGCTCTCTTGAAGGCAGTGGTGGTGGTGGATGACTAGGTGGTGGACCGGTAGGCGACATTAACGAAGACGATGGTGCGGATGCAGGTGCGACTGAAGGATGCTGCAACGACAAAATTTACTTTCACTTACATTTAAAGTTAATTAAGGTTACATGGGTTGAATTGACTGCAGTTCGGTGCCCCTCAGTCACGATATGTGAATGGAGGATAAGAAAAGCTGAAGTCTTTTAGAATAAGAGATACTGTAGTGGAGAACAGTATTTTGCTTAGTTACGGATACCATATGTAGGTAAACTTGCGGATGCACTGAATCTATAGGGGCAAACTCAGCTAAACCTGTAACCGAACAGAAAATTGCGGGTAGTTTGTCGAGGAACTGACGCAATCGTAACAAAAATTGAAAACGACGATCAATTGAAAATAAAAAGCAGTCGGCGCTGGAAGCTCTTTCAAATAAAATGATTTCAGTGTCACCTTACCATTAAACCTTCTAAGTGCCAAAATCAGCAAAGGCAATATACACAAATATCCATGCTCAGTCAAAGTTTACGCCATGCTTCCATCCTGCTACACAATTCTAATGTTAATCAATCACTACCATGCGTATCATGATTCGGTGAGTGCGAGTAAGGCTCACTTATGGGTCTGTTTTATAGTAATGACCCCTCTCGCTGACGAGGCACCCCCGGAAAAACGAATAAAAAAGCAACTTTTACACGCGCACTTTCGAAGTACGTATAAGCAAAATACAAAGGAAATTATAAAATTAGGGATACCAAACTGAATAGAAAGTGATGAAAATAGGTAGAAATGCAATGTACTTGTGGAAAAAAAGGTATTTAGGTCTTTTTTTTCACAATTCGTTTAGGACTCGTCATCACTATCATCACGATCTATTATAAATTTACCCGACTGGACCACTTCGTAAGCACGAGATTCCAGAAAAAACAATTCACGAACTTCACACAAACGGCAGTAAAGAATGGACATGACGAACGTGCTCCTTTGTCACCTCGAAAGGAGAAATTCCTAGTTTTCATCATCGTCATCATTTCTAGCGACTACTTGGGACGAGAAAAGTCAAAGCCGCTCAAAACCTTACAAGTGCTCAAAGTATGGAAGGAGTGAAATAGCCAACTCACAGAGAGCGAGACCGTCAACGGGTCACTTTCCATTATCGGTTCAGGTTGTGAATAAACCTGTGACAATGAATTTGAAGGAGGGATTGAGTTAGATGGACCGGCTCTTGTACTCATACTGTCAGATGGGTGTACGACCTGTAAAAATTATAGCTTTCACATGTCATGCGGGTCCAACAGATTAAAAGTCAAAAGATGACCGAGCCAGAGTTGAGCAAGTGTAAACGTACCATCGTATGTGAACTAGCGAGGACACGACGATGCCATGAGTGCAAGCTGGTAGCTTCACTGGCAACGCTTAGCGTATCGTAGTCCGACGTCATTCCATGGGACAGCCCCAAATCTCTGGCACCAAATTCTTCTCTCATCCGGCGACGAAGCGCTGTAAGGCGATCGCGACGAGAAGCAGCCAGTGAACCCTCCTGAACGGCATGCATATGCTAGCAAAAACTCATCTTAATGAAATCACACACCAGAGGTTGTCCAAAGGACATCGGCGACGTAGAACATGACGTAGAGATTCTATTTCTATACGAATCCAATGGCTGATTACATGTTTCTCTCAGAACAGCTTCTGGAGGTGCAGGACGCTAAACTCTGCGTTTTATAAAGCACTCCAACATAATTAACAAAATAAAACCTTACCTTGAATGTAGAAACGCCGGCCGTGGCTTCACAAAGCCTCTCACAATCGATGGCGTCCTCAAACTCTTCAAGATCGTCGCTCATTCGGATTAACCGTTCAACAGCAAGAAGAAGCAGATCTTAACCGGTTACTTGTCTAAAGTATACCCACTAATTTCTAGAACATTCGACGAGCAATGTCAACAATAAATAAAGCAAATAAAGTAAATAAAGGCGTGGTACAAAAAAACGGTTTCAACGACATTGGAATGCAACCAAAATAGTTCAGATAAATCCAAAAAACAAACTATTTATGCACGGCAGACGTATAGTTTCTTATTATAAGGCAACATAAACAGAAAGGCAAATATCGTTGAGGTCAAACATTTGCTTTTGTAAAAATTTACAAGCTGTCAATCGTAAAACTTATCTATGCTAATAATAAAATGTAATTAAGGCTCTAACTCTAATCTAAACTACATGTCGTATAATGAACCTATCATTATTAATCACGGTGAACTTCCATGATAATAATTGGGCAATTTCACATTCACACTGACGAGTAAACTTCTCAAACCGGTCAAATATGTGGGATAAATGACTTGGTAGTGAGGAAAAGGGGCAAATTGAGCTAGAGGTAAAAGGCAATTCAAACTAAATACATTAATAACTCTGAACCTAAAACATTACATCTCGAAATTCGCAATGACGGCATCAGCGAAGTCAGTAGTGGAGGCATAGCTGAAATGTTCACCTTTATATACGATAAAACAATGGATTTTCCTATTTCCTTTAAAAAAATAACTTCTGATCAAACATACTTTCAAAGCTGTTCACGCAGAAATTACGGAATAACCCAGACATCCCCACTGGGAGACCAGGAACCTGTCTTAGCTCAACCTTCACATCTAGCCGAAACTGATCAAAGGTGTTACTAATTGCGAATATATTTTTGGTCGCAAGATCGTTGAGCGCCTGCTGGTTTTCTGTGCACATGAAAACAAAGGCTCCCTTGAGGGCAAGTGTCAAGACACTGCCACAATTATAAACAAAAATAATATGTAGACGCGATAAAGAGGGTGTGGTGCAGTCGAAATGGTCGCTTCTTGGCGTGAGCGACGTCGCGCTCTAGAGCAGAATGAAGCAGCGCAGAGAGTAAGTAGTACAGAAACAAAACAAGTAACACTAGAAACACTCCAAAATAATAATCGCTCATCGATCGAGCAGAATGAAGAGCGCTAGGTTTGCAATAACGAGGCAACTAGTCCGCGACTGCCGCGTGCGACGAGTCGATTGCACAATTGCACAAGAACGACTCAACTGCCCGTTTCCCCGATTAAGGCATTCTAAAATCGAGACATGTCAGGGCTGCAGCAACCCCGCGAAGAAGTTATTGCTAGCTCACGTCAGTTAGCACCCCGAATCAAATTCATGATAGGGGCCATCAATTACCGAGGGTATAGCGCTATGCCCGAGCTCAGGCGCAACAACGCGCCTAAGCCCCTAACTAGTTGTCTCACTGCGCGGCTTGCCGTTCTGGCATAGGACTTTCCATCCTCAATACCCTTTAATATTCTAGTTATAAGTGCTCATGGTAGTCTGCAATTTCGTAGCAACAGCATAGCAACCACAGACATTCAACCTCGTAATGCTGCTGGCATGCAGTTACACACATTACCATAAGTAGTTATAAATACTACCCTTTATAATGGACTTTGAATAGAATAAGTTCCATGCCCCTTGGGTTTTAGTAGTCGACTGCACCAGAAATACAGCTACAGGGTCGTACGAAACACAGTTACAGTACCTACATATATGATACGTTCACACTCGGCAAACCACGAGATACCGCATGCACTTGAACCATGAGGCATGGTTATGACTGAGAAAAGACTCGTTCATACATGCGAACGAGTCTCCAGTCGGCTCTCGAACTCCTACAGCTCAAACTACAGCCATACTATGATAGTCGTAAAATAAAGTATGTTGGTCGCAAAATGGTCACGTAGAATACATCTCGGTTAAAGTACATCCAAAAATTCTACAAGTGTAAGGGTGAATTCGGAGAAGTAAGTTTTGCCTGCTAAAACAAATAAACATGAAAACCGGGTATTTTTAGGGGCACCATCGACGGAGCAAAAATGGTTAGTCACCCTATTCCTTGATAGCAACAATCCTGAAACTAGGCACACAAAAGCCGAATAACGCTGCGACTGAAGGAATTGCCGAGTGTAAAGCATTTAGCTTCAGATTTCGCTAAGCTACGCCGGGTATATTGTGGATGCGACACCCGACTGAAACACATGATCGTTCAGCTCAGCTCAAAAATAATAAAAATAAAAGTGGACGATGTGGTACTACGAATATGCACGGGCAAATTGACCAGCTTCTTCAGCAGAATGGGAAAATACTTACTTGCAGCCGATAATATTAAAACCTCCGAGTAAAGGGCGAGAACGCTGGTAGTTCAATTCAATATTAATGTGTTATTTACGCCGCCCCTCGCCAGCTTTTTCATGTACTCTGGTATCAGACGCAGTGAGTGTTATGCAAACACGCTATTAACCAACAAATGTTTCGAACACAACGAAATCTAAAATCGATTCAATACATAACATTGGGATCAACAGTTGAGTGTGAGACTCATACCGCTGGTTGAACTTAGGGGATGGGGGAAATCGTAATGAGTAATCTCAGAGATGATCGCAGATTATTGGAATGCTTGAAAAACCGGAAGGCGACGTCATTATCTCCACTCAGGATAGGTAAAATACGATCGAAACGCAACGGCTACTCGACGAGAAGACGAAACGAGCTTACACATTTCTTAAAAAAGGTAGAAGTACTACGATTTAGAGAACCCTAGCAAACGAAATGAGACACGTACGTATTCATGGATGCACAGCTTTTTCAAAGCCGTAGTCCACCATATCTAGTAAGAAATGCATTCACTTGACATGTCTAATTGATTACTTGTTATTAGAATGAGGTACTACCGAAAAAGAAATCTCGGAACAAGCAGTACACTATGAAAAACTCAAAATCTAATTTTCCGATTTCAGCTGTTCCCTGCCCTTGACAACGCCGCTTAATGCAAATATGTATATCATAAATAACCACGGCTTAAGTGGGCAAGTGACTTGCGTCTAGCAAAGGTAAATAGCAAGCTGCAAATTGTTGAAATTATTCCTTCCGAACGTTTCGGTGCGAAATACAGATTGATGAGTGGAAGGTTCAAGGGGGGCACGGTGTCACGTACAAACTGTAGAAAGCGGTTGAGCCAGGAAATCGGTCTACCATGACTCCCGATCATACCTCATCTGAACATTGACTGAACTACAATGACTTCGCATACCTTATTTAGTCACTAGCCTGGATTGGTTGCAACAAGACACTTGCACAAGACATTAACTTAAGGGCCCTCTTTAAGCAACACTTATACAAAACTGTAAAAAGTAATGAAGCAGGCCTATGCGGATAAAATCTCGAATTACAAGCTAGAATTGCTGTAAATCAAGGTATGGCACTACTTTCCCTTTACTGCCCCATTTTGTCGAGAATGGGCTGAATTTCTATCGAATTTTTTTTCAAGAATATGAAACCAACTAGAAACCTGCCTAGAGGGGTAATTTGACCCGTAGAACACGAATATTGCATCCAATCGTCATGAAAATTTCTTGTTCTAACACACTACTTAGGGGCAAGTTTTCAGCAAGATTGCTTACCCAACTCTATTTGGCCCGGGCGCCTATGACGCTTGGCATTTTATGACGAGTGGATGCGGTATTCGTGTTCTAAAGGTCAACAACCCCTCTAGGCAAGTTTCTAGTCGGTTTCATATACTTGTAAAATATTCGATAGAAATCCATCCCATTCTCGACAAAATGGGGCAGTAAAGGATAAATAAAGCCCAAGGTATCAATCTCAAGGAATAAGCTTTGACAAAACTATTCAGTGTGAGGAAGAGAACCTCAACATTCTATACGGCATCCTACAAAAAACATGCGTCGACCGCGTTGAACATCTTCATTCAACGTCACCATGAATGAAGAAAACGTCTGTGAGGATGTTGAAGGAAATAGGAGCGTACGGAGAACTGAGTCATCAAACTTCATAGGTGCTTCGCAGCATGACTACCGATTGACCGGAACATTTCATGAGGTGCTAAAACTCCCGCACGCCGCTGAATTCGAATAATTCAAATTGCTTTTTTTCACTTACACAAAACTAGATGAACGCAGGTGCGAATATTAATAGAGTAGAATGTTAATAGGAAGAAAATCTCATTGTGCAGAAAATGAAGGCAAAGAAAAAGCCGACCAAACACGCAAATTTCGGGTCAGCGAAATTAATTCAATTAGGCAGGAAAGTGCAAGGAGGAAGCATCGTTCACCAAAGCCTCAAAGCACTTTCCAAAAAAAAAAAAAAAACTGGACTGAATTGCAATGAACCATCGCAAAATCAATAATTTCTGCGCCGGCTGCTGACACTCACTGCAGAACTCGCGAACTTTTTTCGAGCTTTAATCCAGATTTAATGAGAGTAGCGAATACGCACAAAGGGCTTCTTCCTCATCAGCGTAAAAACTAGCGAAAACAAAAAAGCGGCAAAGCCAACAGCGTAAAAACTAGCGAAAACAAAAAAGCGGCAAAGCCAAGTGTCTTCAAAAGCCTAGCATCACTTCAAATCAATAAAATGTTTCTAAGAACTCATGAGATAAGGGAACCAAGCAATGGCCAGTAACTATCAATCACCTGGGAAGGAAAAGCAGATTAGATCTGGCAGACCATTGCTATCATTCATACTACGATTCATAAATAGCAAATGTTCAGCATGATGAATAGCAATTACTTTTACAAATTATAAATATCCGTGAAAGGATACCAGCACAGTCTTTGACTTACCCTCCCATATCCCTTGTGCGAACTTTGCCATCGCGAATTACCTTCTCCACCGCTGTCCGTAAGGCAAGAGCATAATCAGTGAGATGAAGATGGTTGAGCATATTGGCTGCACATAAAATCATTGCCGTAGGATTGGCAATAGACCTGAACATCGTTTTTCAAACAAAGGTTGGGAATCACACCAAAACTTATTCGAATGAGGTACCTTCCAAGAGCTTCCTGGAAGGAATGACGGCTTCCTGGCTCGAAAATGACGTAGTCGCTTCCAACGGACTGACCAGTAACCACACCAGCACCACCAACAAGCCTAAAAATGCCTTAATAAAATGTGGTTAGTACCAATACGATTACGATTATAGAGAATGGCGAAATAACACGTCGAAGACACAAATCCCTTCTCAAAAGAAAGGTGCGGTGAACGTTATGCTTTGAAAGCACTGGATCAGTCACTATCAAGGGCCCATTCAGATTGGAGAACAAATCTATGAAACTTATAATTTTCCGGTTTTGAAAGGAGAAAGTTGCACCTGGACGGAATATTAACTTAACCTACAATAGCGCTTTATTAACCTCTCGCGTATTAATTAGATCCACCCTTGCTGTTGTCATAACATTCTCAGTGCGCTTCCAACAGAAGTTTCAAAATGACACAACAAAAAATTCTCACCATTACAAAATATAAACGATTAACTGACTAGTTACTAGTAAGCCGGGCAAAACAAGCTGGAAAAATGATTCGCACTCTCGTGTTACGCATAATAGGTGACCTGTTCACTTGTGTGTGTGAGGGGGGGGGGGGGGGG